GCTGAATATATAGTAAATATCACCCAGTCCTACGATCTACACATAATTCAATGGTAATCCCCTGTCCAACCACTAGAGGTCTCTCACCAGTCTTGGTGAGCAGCAGGTTGACTCCATTGGTGAGCAGCTGGGTGACTCGAGTGTTGAGGTGGTCGATGGTTTCCTGCATGGCTTTGACCCGCATACGTAGAGTGTCATTCTCTTTTTGCAGCATAGAGTTCTCCTGAAACAGATCGCTAAAACCGTCGGATCCATCTTCACAGGCCACTCGCTTCCCCTGAAAGAAACCCAAAGACCGTGGCTGAATCCGAAATTGCTCCTATACCCTCATTCACTATTCCCTACATTAGGCTACTAATACAGTTCACTTGAAGGAGTGAATGAAAACGAGTGAGTGAATTCATACACTGAGTGCACCGGAAGAACTGACGCTTTTGCATAGTTTGTGCTTGCTGTTTAATAATCATTTGAAACTGGCAAACTGGCAGCTCCAGTAAGATGAAAGGAAATATATTGAAATCTGTCATGGAAATTAAAAAATGTATGGATGGACGATTCAGCTGTGGGCGCCATCTTCTGGTGAGATACGGCAATTCATTCGGGTGTGCGACTCTCACAGTGCATTATGGGTATTCTCTAGCCATTGAGCATTCGCCAGTTGTACACTCTTTATTGCTGTGCATTGTGGGATTGAATGAGTGCACTCAATAATGTCCACTAAGCTTTCGGACACCACTAAAAATGGCTGTCCCCTCAAAAAGTGCCCTATTTAAGGGTATAGGGAGCGCTTTCGGACACAGGGTGTGAGAAACGGATAGCTAGGCGCTGACCCCATTCAACCCAAGCAACAATCCCCCGATCCTTCCATGTTCGGGCTCTCTGTCAGGACGTCTCATCTCTCTCAAAGCCATCACGGCTAATCGCTAACTTCTTCCGTCGGCCGTTTATCATCCAGGTCAGGCCGAGGAGCTAAGCTGCAGCTACGCTTCATTAGCTCCAGCGAGATCCCATGAGCTGAACCATGTTATCATGCCCCACAAGCCCACCGCACAGGCTTTCTCATCTTCTGGACTCATTACATAAACAGCTAGAGCGCCACCTGGGTGGCATTGAAGGAAAGAGGAGAAAGAACAAGTGTAGGAATGAAAGAAGATGACCCGACTCACTATCTACTTTAAGTCCTCTATTTGATTTAGTAATAGAGGAAGTGTTTAGCAGTTTGATGCTTCAATGTAAGCTCAAATTGTTGCCTCTGTAGTAAAATAAACAAGTAATAAGATATCTTGACAAGTCAGTTCTGTCACTGTAAACTGGTTCCCGCTGTGTAGAACATTCTGGCATGTGTCTTATATCTGCTATTCTGATAACTCAAGTGAGCTGGTACTTCTGTCTTTTAGATTCGCCCAAAAATGGAAAGTCTGTCATCATTCCAAGCCCATATGATATCCTCCTAATATCAGATCATTTGTAAATATTGTATGAGGGTGATGTTTTACCTACAAACTGGACGTCTTCGATTATGATCCTATGAATTTGTATGAATTGTAGATAAAACGTCACCCCTGAAGCTAACCCTCAGAAGGTGTGTGAGCAGATTAGGGCTGCTCAAATATGGCAAAAATCATAATCATGATTATTTTGGTCAATATTGTAATCACGATTATGAGTGGGCCACATGACCAAAACTTTATATGAATGGTTTATTTAAAGATAGTGATATCAAATATATGTATCTTCTGTATATAAGGTTGCTATGACATTTAGAGATTTAGAGACATTTAGAGAAATTTCACAATTCTCAATACCACAGCAGAATACTAGGGTAACTAATATTAGCAAAAAAACAACAAAAAAAAGTCCTCAAATTATTGAAAATAATTAAAGGGCTCATATTAAGCAATTTCAAGTTTTCCTTTCTCTTTGGAGTGTTACAAGCTGTTCGTGAATAGATAAGATCCCTGAAGTTGCAAAGACTAAAGTCTCAAACCCAAAGAGATATTCTTTATAAAAGTTAAGACTCGTTCAAGCCTTCCTAAAACGCCTCGTTTAAACACGCCCCCACATGTCTACGTCACGATGTGGGAAGATTTGCATAACGCCGCCCAAATGTTCACGCAAAGAAAGAAGGCGTAACTTTGATTCTCGCTGTAGTATTGTTGTTGCTGCCGCCATTCCGTCGTGGAGACGCTGTGTGTTTCATTGTGAAAGCGAAACTACTTTGTTTGGCCTTCCAAAAGAGGACACAACTAGAAATCAGTGGTTAAGTTGTATTTATGTTCTGACTCACAGTCTGTAAGCAAGTTTCCATATTTAAAGGATTTGCCACTGATGATTCAAATGCGAGTTTTGAGCAGTGTAGAGTAGCACTGGTACTGTTTTTGTAAAAAATTACGCGTTTCAGAAAGGCGGGGCATAGAGGAGAAACAATAATGTACAGTATGTGGAAAATAATGTGTTTTTTTAACCTTAAACCGCATAAAAACATTGCATTACACCAAATACACAAAATAATGTTCTTTTTTTGCAACGTCATATGACCCCTTTAAACAGTCAGTAATGTAATAAAAAAAAGCAAAGGAGAAATACAATAGAAAAAAGCTTAAAATGAAACAAACAGTGCAAGTCTAAATTATTTAGCTAACAGCCTACTACATAAATTAAATATTTGAATGTAAAATAAAACGGCATAGTCTTCACTGTAAGAAGTAAACTTCCTTTGTTTCTTATTAAAGCTATAAAAGTCTTTCAGTCAAGAGCAGTGAGTGATTTTGTCTTTGTCTTTTGTTTTTCGATTAATATTAAGCACACAGTCAGCAGCAGGAATATTAGCCAGCTGTCACTTTAAGAGCCGCACGGATCCAATGCACGCATTTTCAACTGTTTACATTCACTTATTACATAACCGATGAGGGTTTATGTGAATAATCACCAAGCACCGCATTTTGACACATTTTTGTGTGTATTTGACCATTTAGGCGCACATCTTCAGCTAAAAGTTGACTTTACATGTGCGTGTTCCGTTCCGTCTCTGAGCGCATGCACAGAAAACCTCCTGAGGAACAGCGCAAGTGCTCTTTCGTGCTTTTAAAAACATGAATAAATCTAATCAACTTTGATAAATCAAGCACGTCCCATTTTGCAAAAGCCATGTTACATGATTTTACTGATTTACATGTGAAATTCTGCTTTTATGGAGGAGTGAAAGCGCACCGCTGGAATGGAGTGCAATAATCATTTTATCTCGATTACTGTATTTGTATAATAGTTGGAGGCCGAAATCGAGATTAATTGCACAGCTCTAGAGCAGATCATACAAAATGTGCAAAAGAGATCATATGAATTTGTATGATTTATAGGTAAAAAGTCACCATGAAGGTCCAACCCTAACCCCATCCCTCAAAATGTGTAGGATTAAAATGTCAACATGGTCAACCCGTAACCCTACCCCTAAAACTAAAACTAAACCCAAGTAAGTAAGTTTTGCAGTAAATGTGCAAAAGAGACGATTCGAATTTGCAACCAATTCATGATGACTTTTTGCATACAAATCGTACATCTTTGTATGAATTTGATCCTATAATGGTAAAAAGTCACCACAAAGGTGATCCCATTCCTCAAGAGGCGTGTGAGTAGATTGTCCAAAAGCATATGAAAAAGATTGTACAGATTCATCCGAACCTTTAAATCAGACGTCTAGTAAGATCCTTTGAATTCGTACAATTTGTAGATCTCCACCTAAAGTAGAAATTCTTAAAAATATCTGTAAAGATACTTTTGTCAAGAGATTGCGTTGGTGGAGATTTTTAGATAATAATGACTTTTTTTGGTCTGTTCCTCATACAAATGTATTGTATGGCTTCAGAACATTTGGAATAGAGTGCACAAGTAGTATGAAATATGTTTGTGTGCTTTTTTTAAGCAATATTAGGAGCTCGATAGCTCCAGTCCCCATTCACTCTCATTGTTTTGAAATGAACATCCAGGATATTCTACAAAACATCTCTCTTTTTTCCACAGAAGAAAATGTTATGATATGGGGGTGAGTAAATGATGACACACACTTCATTTTGGGGTGAATTCTCCATTTGCGGGTTTTTGTTGGTGGGAAAAGATGCCTGGTGGAGACCAACTCTTCCCAGAATCCCACGACCCTCCAGGTCCTTCTCCTTACCGCTTTGTACTCCATGATCTCCATCTGCAGGCGTGCGATCTCCGCTCGTAAGGCGCTGATCTGCTGGCTGGTTTTGTCCTGGTTCATGATCACTTTGTTCTTGATGTTGCGAGCCCGATTGGCGTACTTCAGTGTGTTCAGGGTCTCCATGAAGTCACGGTCAGAGGGGCTCACGCAGGCAATCATCACAGTCCGACTAGACGGATACAAAGCAGATGAGAATGCAAGAGGACAGGAATTCATAAGGGTCTATGATATCCTTCAGAAACACACACACACATGACAGAAAGATAAAACTCACAAACAGATAAACACAAACACGCTTTCATAGACTGCAGACGCAGCCCACATATTTTTGTGGATGCGGCTGGGATTGAATGTCTTTAAGGAGCGCCTCTGTCTGCAGTCCCTCATGTTTAATTCAATCAGCTCCCCCTCTGAACCCACATCATAAGAATATATGGGCAGCCTGTGCCGTCCACTGTGGGCTGAGTGGTCCAGCGCTGATGCAGTGCACTGTTAGCATGCATTAACCTTCAAGGCACAATGACTGCACTGTGCACAGGAACGTTTACAAGTGTGTGAACTTGCAAGGACAATCCGAGACTTCTAAACAAAGTGTGCATGTATGAAACTGCCTCTACAGGCTTTCTAGATAAAGTTGTAAGTTGTGACAATGTTATAAGTTGCACTGAGTAAATCAATTATTTTTATACCCACTGTGTGTGTGTGTGTAAAAATAAATAAATTATATATATATATATATATATATATATATTCTTCTTCAGAACTCTCTCACAATATAATTACCTTTTCTTTCCTTCATCTACTCGGACAACTTTCCCAAGCATGACAGTGAGAGCGCAGTAATGAATCTTGAAGGAGGCAGAACTAATGCAACCCAAACTTCACACCTTAGTTAACATGGATAAACTTGACTCAGCTAAAAGAACCGACACAATTATGATAATGAAGTCTAGGACAATGAAAATCCCCGACGAAGCCAGTTTTGTGGTGTTGAGGTGTTGGCTTTGTGCTCATCTGAGAACTTTCTTAAGTGTTTATCTAGTCATGGTTAAAGAGACTGGTAACTTAAAAATGACAATTCAGCCATGATCTAAAAAAAAAAAAAAAAGTACATTGCTAGTAAAAGTTTGGAAACATTGAATCATCAAACCTATGAAGTAGCAAATGAAAGTACGGGAATTTTATTGTGACCAAAAATAAAATATTATATATATATATATAAAATTACTAAAAACTTAAACTTATATTTGCAAACAAAATATAATTTAAAAAAATGAATTAATATATATATATATATATACACACATAAACACTGCCCGACTGCCATTCAAAAGTCTGGGATCAGTAAGATTTTACATGTTTTTTTTTTGTTTTTTTTAAGAAAATCTTATGCTCATCAAGGCTGCATTTATTTGATCAAAAATACAGAAAAAAAACTATTATTGTGAAATATTATTAATATATATACACACATAAACACTGCCCGACTGCCATTCAAAAGTCTGGGATCAGTAAGATTTTACATGTTTTTTTAGTTTTTTTTAAGAAAATCTTATGCTCATCAAGGCTGCATTTATTTGATCAAAAATACAGAAAAAAACTGTATTATTGTGAAATATTATTACAGTTTAAAATAATGGTTTTCTATTTTAATATAATTTAAATATAATTTATTCCTGCGATGCAAAGTTGAATTTTCAGCATGTCTAGTCACATCTCTAGTCACATCATCTTTCATAAATCATTCTAATATGCTGATTTATTATCAGTGTTTGAAACCATTTTTTGCTGCTTAATATTTTTTGGAACCAGTGATACTTTTTTCAGGATTCTTTGATGAATAAAAAGTTCAAAAGAACAGCATTTATTCAAATTAGAAATCCTTTCTAACAATATAAGTCTTTACTATCACTTTTTATCAATTTAACACATCCTTTCTGAATAAAAGTATTATTTCTTAAGAAAGAAAGAAAGAAAGAAAGAAAAATGTACTGATCCCAAACTTTTGAACAGTAGTGTATATTGTTACAAAAGTTTTCTATTTATAATTGTATATTTCTGAAGCCAAATGACAGACTGGAATTAATCCTGCACTCACAGAAAATCTTGCATTCTGTCTGGCATTCCATCAAAACACATAATATTGTGTTTTGAGCAACAGGATAATGCACATCACCTTTAGATGACAGAATGCAACCAGGAAAATGGCCCTCGGGGAAAAAGTAGTTGTCAGGGGACTGTCCTAGTGGTTAGTTCCTGTAACTGAGTTCCTTCAAAGTAACCCGGTGCGAAAGCCCCTATAGTTCCAATATCAGACGTACCAGGCCACAGTTGATCGAGATGCCCTCTCTCGCTCTCTCTCCTGTGGCTCCTGTGCGTTTGAGACGCTCTGATCCAGCCAGGTCCACAAAGTGAAACTTAGCAGTGAGCGTCTCATACTCGGGCTGAGAGATGGAGCTATCGCCGTTCATCTCTCCGTTCACCTGGGAAAAAAACTGTATTATTGTGAAATATTATTACAGTTTAAAATAATGGTTTTCTATTTTAATATAATTTAAATATAATTTATTCCTGCGATGCAAAGTTGAATTTTCAGCATGTCTAGTCACATCTCTAGTCACATCATCTTTCATAAATCATTCTAATATGCTGATTTATTATCAGTGTTTGAAACCATTTTTTGCTGCTTAATATTTTTTGGAACCAGTGATACTTTTTTCAGGATTCTTTGATGAATAAAAAGTTCAAAAGAACAGCATTTATTCAAATTAGAAATCCTTTCTAACAATATAAGTCTTTACTATCACTTTTTATCAATTTAACACATCCTTTCTGAATAAAAGTATTATTTCTTAAGAAAGAAAGAAAGAAAGAAAGAAAAATGTACTGATCCCAAACTTTTGAACAGTAGTGTATATTGTTACAAAAGTTTTCTATTTATAATTGTATATTTCTGAAGCCAAATGACAGACTGGAATTAATCCTGCACTCACAGAAAATCTTGCATTCTGTCTGGCATTCCATCAAAACACATAATATTGTGTTTTGAGCAACAGGATAATGCACATCACCTTTAGATGACAGAATGCAACCAGGAAAATGGCCCTCGGGGAAAAAGTAGTTGTCAGGGGACTGTCCTAGTGGTTAGTTCCTGTAACTGAGTTCCTTCAAAGTAACCCGGTGCGAAAGCCCCTATAGTTCCAATATCAGACGTACCAGGCCACAGTTGATCGAGATGCCCTCTCTCGCTCTCTCTCCTGTGGCTCCTGTGCGTTTGAGACGCTCTGATCCAGCCAGGTCCACAAAGTGAAACTTAGCAGTGAGCGTCTCATACTCGGGCTGAGAGATGGAGCTATCGCCGTTCATCTCTCCGTTCACCTGGAGTGAGAGGAAAGAGTAAAAAACAATGGCAGCTTTGAGCTACTAACACGCGCATCTTAAATTACAAATGCAACCTTCATGGTTCCTGCATTTTCAGTGTGCTCTGACATGTTCGGTGTTGATGTTTCTAATGCCAGTGGTTTTATATAATTACTCAGTTTTGTACCGCAGCAGTCTGGAGCTCTGTGAATTTTAAAACTTCAAACTTGCGACCTGCTTAAACTTGTTAATGGCTTTCTAATGCAGTACTTTAGGATTACAGCTCTCAACGTGATGTATGCCGTTTTAATTAATATTCCCATGTCGTCAGATGTTCTTGACAAGTGCTGTGAGCATTTAAAGCGGCTCGTGATTGAGGTGTTGATTAGGGTTGGGTACCAAACTAGGTACTTTTAAGGGTACTGACCGAATTGCGTCGGTACTACCAAATCAATCGGTGCCAAATTTCGGTACCTGAGACCGCATCTGGGCGCATACGCTACAGAGAAAGAAAGAGAGACCCTGTGATGTGTTGTCACCCCTGCAACTCGTTCAGACAACACACAGGGCAAGCCGAAATGTTCTGAAGTGTGGTTATATATCTAGAGCCATATGGTTTCTGCCAAAACGCGGACGGGATCGTGGAGTCCATTCATAAAAACCTAATTTACTCTATAGCGCGGAATGCCACGGAATTCATCAATTTTGGACGAATAAATCAAAAGTAGTCACTGCCACTTAATTCGAATCGCGATATGAACTAGTGTCTATTAGTGAATATTAAAATGCAAAAAGATGGTTTAAATATGAATCCTGCATGTTCCGCTTGCCTCTGTATGTATGAACTGCCTTTAACTGAAAAATGAGTGTTTACTATTGTCATTTTGCATTATTGAAACACTATTTTCCTAAT